GTGGGATTTAATACTGGTCCTGCAGGTCCTGATCAAAGCTTCATTTGAATCTTTGGATCAGGTTCCACTTAAATTCTTGTCTCTTTAAACAGCCCTGCTGATGGCTTTAACATCCGCTAAGAGAGTGAGTGTTTTATCTGCCCTCTCTGTCGCTCCGTCATGTCTCAGAATTCAGGCTGATGGCAGCTCAGCTGATTTTAGACCAACACAGCTTTTATGCCTAAAACATCACGAGCTCTTTTGATCAAGAGCGATATCATTGGAGGGGTCGTCCCCCCCCCCTTCACACAGATCAGAAGAAGTAGCGTCTTTTTATCTCCTCTGTCTTGTGCGTGCGTTGACGTGTTACATAGCATGCACAGCTGCAATGCGTCAACATTTGTTTGTGCATTATAGAGATGCATCTGCAGGTCGCCCGTTATCCACCCAGCGCTTGTCACACTGGCTGTGTGAGGCCATTTCTGAAGCCTACAGAGCATCAGATTTAGAGCCTCCTGTCAACCTCAGAGCACACTCGACCAGGGGTATCGCATCTTCGACTGCTTTGCATAATGGTATGTCAATGCAGGACATTTTGCACTGTGGCCGCGTGGTCAACACCCTGCTCATTTATTTGCTTTTATCTAGGTGATGTATCGGCCCGTTCCATGACACATTCTGTCCTTAGTGTTTACAGAATGAATATTGTTGTTTCATGGAACTCCGTTTTACTCACATCTGTCTGCATGCATTACAGTGTGAGATGTTATCAGTCACAAGTTGTGACTGTTATTTTGGTTCTATTTTCACTAATCAGTTCACAAATATTTTTACCAATCAGTTCATTTGATTAATAATCAGCTCTCCTGTTATTATTAATCTGTTCATACGGTTCAGCCGTAAACCGGTTGGTTCATGACTCTTTTCAGCGTTTTTCCCTCCCCGTTGAAGTTTTCCGGGGGGTTCATGCATTCAGAATGCATAGTTACACAACATGCGTCTGTGCATGGCACACATAATTACGCAATGCGTAATTACGCACATGGGAGCTGAGTGACGAGACGTTTTTTTGGGCAAGCTTCTGCTTCATACGGTGTTCGAATGGACCCAGTGAGGCGAGGACAACATCCGCTTCACCCTTAACCCACTAAGCGACAGCCTTAAAGGGCAAAGCCTATACGAAATAGAACGTTGGTTACGTACTGTAACCCCAGATTCTATGAGTATAGGCATAGCCCTTTAAGCGTCGGGCCTCACTGGCTCCTAAATGGCTGAAGAAAAAGCTATTTTTGGGAGCCGATTTCCCGCTCTTAACATAATTTATACGGACCGGGTGGGGCCCACACAGCAGGTGGGCGTGGACTAAATTTTTCAGTGCTAATGCTCCGCATAACGGGATAAACCCACTAAGCGACAGCCTTAAAGGGCTACGCCTATACTCATAGAATCTGGGGTTACAGTACCTAACCAACGTTTTCATTAGTTGTCAGTTATAATCATCAACATTAAATGAAATAAACATTTGAAATATATCAGTCTGTGTGTAATGAATGAATATAATATACAAGTTTCACGTTTTTTTTTCATCCATTCAACCTTTATTTAAACAGATAAGTCACACTGAGCCTCGGACTCATTTACAAGTGAGACCTGTTTGGACAGACAATAAAAGTGGGGAAAATTGACACATAGGGTTTGGAGACAAAAAAAATTCCTAACATGCTTTTAACCTCTGTTTGAAGGTCAACAATGTGATAATGAAAAAAAAAAATCTCGCACACTAGCACATAATGACACCGACATTACGCAGGGTGTGGGGGGGACGCAAGTTTTGAATGGAATTACTGAAATCAACTTTTTCATTATATTCTAATTTTATCAGCACCTGTATACATCAGCCTCACCCCTGATATGAATTTGGGACCAAAATTTAAATAACTTTTTTAAAGTCTCGAAGAGATGACCGCACTCCACCTGCTCAAATGCTTTGTCCGTGTGTAATGAAAGAATGATTTCATCACGTGTGCTCGGATGGACTAGGAGTATACAACACACCAAGCAGCCACCTAACATTGAAGAAAACCTGATTGTTTTTAATCAACCCCGTCTGGTTAGGCGGGACAATTGTGGGGACCGCCCACTGAAGTCGTTTTTACCAGGACCTTTGTAAGGATTTTTACATTAGTATTTAAAAGGGAGATGGGACTAGTATGAGCACCGCAGCTTAGAGGATCTTTATCTTTCTGAAGACTCCCACATGCTTGGGTGTACTGTGTGTATTCCGTGAGCTGCGCGGACAATGCGCGCACTGTCCGCAGATGGTTGAGACTTCATACTCAAGCGTACACTCTGATGGGCTGCAGCCCAGCTCTGCAGGCAAGGAGTGTTCATCTTCAGGACAAATTGAGGTCGCCAATTGGTCATTTGCCAACAGCTGCCGGCAGCCCTGGGTAGAGGAAGCTGGCAGCCCAGGAGCAACGGCAGTGGTGTTCTGTGTTTATATGTTAATAAAAAGTTCTAAAATTTAAAAAAAAAACGTGGCACTGGCCCTGCAACCCACACATCAGACCAGCCCACTGGGAAATCTCCAGACACTCCCGCAGCCACGCCGGGCTTGATTTTAATTCTCTCGTGACAAATTCCTTCTTTTCTCACAATTTCAGTCATGGCATCAATGGACGAGGAGGAAGAGATAGCTTTCCTCTTGGCAAAAAAATGAAAGAAAAGGCCATTAAACCAGATCAGGGGAAGGGGAATTTAATATATTGGTGTCACATACAAAACAGTCCGTCGCCAGGGAGTTTATTGTGCGAAACCGAGTATGCGTATGTGGTTGTAAAAATTAATCTTTGCACGGTCATGGCTTGCGGGCATCTGCTTTGGGTCCACGTTGAGTCTAATCCGGTACGCTTGGACCTCTGTGGAGTGAAGTACGCCCAAGTATGTGGCAGCCTTTAGGTATCAAAGTTCATGCTCAATCATCTAGGTACTAAATCCAATAATGGTCAGTCAGGTCATCTGGACAGTTTATTTTTGTTGAAAGACATTTTGCCCTTACTTGGGACTCCTCAGACTGATGAAGCCCTCCGGATAGAGGGCGAAACGTCTTTCCACAAAATAGAAACTGTCCAGATGATCTGATTGACCATTATTGTATTTTGTACCTGGACGATTGAGCATTAACTTTGATCTTACTGAGGATCTACAGTTCGTTAACTTCAAAGTTGGCTTTGCGAGGCCTGTGGTTTCTGAAAGAAAAAATGGCTCTAGACAGAAAAAGACAGAGAATACTTCCATTGAGTAACACACAGAGTGTTTTGCCTGTTGTCTTTTAGCAGAACTTCAGAGGTTGTGGAGGTCAAGCAGGGGGAGACAGCGGGGTGGCGGTGCTCACATGTCCACCATCTTTTTGTGTATATCAAGACTGCGAACCACTGCACAAAACCCTTCAAAAGATATCCTGCCATCTCCATCCTTGTCTGCATTTATAATAGTCTTGTCCTCAATCTGCTGGAGTTGTGTCCTTCCAAGTTGTTGCCTACCATCATCTTCAGTACTTGGAAGAGCTTGCCATCTGAGATGTAGCCATCCTTTTCCATGTCGTAGACCCTGAAGGTGAATCACAGCTTTTCTTCTTTGTCCCCTTTGACTAAACTGTGAGACTCCTTTGATAAAGTCTTTGAAGTCCACTTTTCCATTCCCATCCATGTCAAATATGTGGATAAACCTCTGCACCAACGTGTTCTGTTGCAGCTTGGGCAGAGACATGAACTACTCCACGCTGAGTGAGCCAGGCCACCGGTGCAGGCTCTTTGTAATATCTCCACACAATCCTGATGATAATGCAGCCTGGCCACGATAACACTCGATTTATCATTCGAGCCTCTCCTGCCCGGTGTCCAGTATACGTGGTCAACCAGCGGTGACTTGTCCAGCTTCAGCACCTCTGTTAGCATTTTGGCTATGACTGTAGGTGTGCACTAGCCTGGCAACTCAGGAGCTTCAATAATCCCAATATTGTTTCATTTCATATTACCCTCCACAAATTCAAGCCTTCTTCTCAGCCCATCCACCTAATCCATCAATTTCACCACAGTCCCATGCAGAGCCCCCACCTCATCTGAGCACATAGACAGCCTGTCTTCAGTCTCTGTAACACTTAGCTTAACTTGGTCAAGCTCTGCTCTGAGGGTCGTGGTGTTTCCAGCAAGCTCTGCTCTCACCGCTTGTAATTAGCTCTTGATAAAATTAAATTCAACCGTCAGAGCCGCCTTCATCTCCATCCTAATTATCGCCGTGACTTCAAATTTAATTGAAGCCAGAATATCTGACTTCAGAGCCGACTTGATCATCATTCCAGAGCCCGGCGAGGGCGGGGCTTACGCACCTGCTGTTGTTGTTTCACCTGCCGCTGTGGCTTCACCGCGGTCCGAGGCTGAAGTAGTGTCTCCAGGTTGCGCGGGCAGGAGCCCTGCTGCCTTAGATCTTTTTTTTAATTTAAAGGCCATATTACAGCTCCATCAAATCAATCCTGCAACAACACCAATCTCAGAGGAAGAATCCAACATGGAAGCAGCGAGATATAATTATTAAAGGTAGTTTTTCAGGCAGGGCTGATGGGAGCTTAGCAGAATGCTGCTCCATGATCCGCGGCCATCGTGTGCTGCTTCTGAGGGATATTTTACTGATTTATCAAGAAACATTTATCTCCAAGAACAGTTAGACTTTTGCTTCCAGAATCATCTCAAGATCCAAACTTAGTGTTCTGTGACCCATAGTCTGGTTCTGATCCCAACATTGAGTCTAAAGTTGCAGAGTTCAGACCAGAACATGGTGATGGATGAAGGCTTGGAGGAAACTCCCAATTCCAAACGAAGTCTGGACAAGTCTAGATCAGGGCTTCTGGATCAGGAGTTTTGTGCAGTTCTGGACCACCCAACAACTGAAAAATGATTACAGTTGGTTCTGACACTAGTTCTGGTTCTTTTGGAGAACATTGTTGGGTTTCTGATGGTTTTCAGAGCTGGGGGTGGAGTACTGCCCACCGTCACAATACCTGCTGCCAGTTCTGGAGAACAACTGTGACAAACAGAACTCTGACTGTGTGGATGGACTGGAGGAGGCCTGGAAGGTAAAATTAGAACCACAGGACAGACCCGCGAGAAGTTCTGATGACCTGGCTGAAGGCTTTCAATCTGTTTCTGTTTGTGTTGCAGAATAAAATAACTGACTACGAGACGAGAAAGGTAACACACATGCACACAGTCACAGTCACACACATACACAGTATAATTTTGTATTTTATGGCGTGTTTCGTTGTTTCTTTCGCCTTCGGCTGCTGAGACTTTTTTCATTTAAACGTTTTTGTCACTCCTCCAGGAGCAGAAGCAGCAGGAGAAGTTGGCCTTTGAGCGCCTCCTGGAGGAGAAGCAGAAGGAGCACACCCGGCTCCTCCTCACGAACAACTCTCACAAGGAGAATATCCTGAACTTGGTCCGACAGGTGTGCTAAAAATTTGCTCTGTTTTACCTTCGGCTCATGCAGCAGACGCCTGCTGCCACTTCTGCTTTTAGTAACTAATAACATTTACTTTCAAACCTTTTCTCTTCAGTTCTCTTTGAGATCTGCTTCAGCTGCTGGCTCTGGTTTTGTCTTTTTATGCTATTTTTAGCTTTTAGCTACTCTTAAGCTTCTTGTAGGTTTTACTCAGCTTTTTTGCTAATATTAGCATTTTGGCTGATTTTTGCTACATTTAGCTTTTACTTAGCCTTTCATTAGATATAACCTAGTTTTTTTGCAACAGTTACAGTTTAGTAAGCATATTGCTACGTTTAGCTTTTAGCTGGTCTTTTTCTACCTTTAGCTTATACCCAGCTTTTTGATAATTTTAGCTCTTAGTTAAGCCAACTCTCAAATTTTTTGCTAAGTAGGGTGAAGGTTCTTTGGATGGAGACCTGAGTGACCCGCTCTGCTGTTTTAGGAGCAGGAGCGTGTGGACCAGGCCTTCAGCCTGCAGCAGAGATGTCAGGAGGCCGACAGGCAGCTGGTTCTGGAGAAGGTTCGTCAGGCCGAGGACAACTTCAGCAGCCGGATCAACAGCTTGTTGAAGGACAACAGCAGGTTGGAGCCAAAGGACGACACTAATGTTGGAGGAGCATGATGAGCTTCAGCTGATTGTTTGTTTGTTTTCAGGCAGAAGAAGGCTGCAGAGTTCCTCCAGGCCATGGAGGAGGACCGGTGAGCCCATCCAGAACATCCGATCCACTCAGACCCGTCCAGAACTCTGATCCGGTTACTGAACTGTTTCTGGAGCACTTCCAGGAGGAGTGCTTTCAGAGGAAACAAAGAGGAAAAACACTTAGTTAAGCTGCAGCAACTGAAAGGGTTAGATCTGAGCCTTTTGATACTTTTTATAAAGTACCAAAGAGATGGTGCCGGGAATCTTTAGTCCCTCATTATTTAATTATGATTCAGAGGCTGCTTTACAATTATAAATAACTATGAATGCTTTTACCTCAGATCTTAAAGAACTACAGCTTATTTGACATTAACACTGATTTATATTTTAATGCCCAACAAAGAGTTCACGTTAACTCATGAAGAATCCCTGCTGACTAACAGTTAGCATAGATGCTAACTTATTATTGAAATCTCCATAGAAAGGCTAACATCATATTTCTTACTGGAGATTTCCCCACAAAACGTTTCATCACAAAGTCCGTTCTGACACCTTCAGGACATCTTTACAGACAGATGGTCTTCGGTGTTCAGCTGATAAAACATAAAAACCGTTGGACTGCTACCAGAGCTCTGCTGGAACAAACGGCAGCATCAACTCTCCATTTCAGACATTCAAGGACTGATTCAGTCCTCCAGGTCCACGCTGCCTTAAGGTTGGACTTTATCTCCATCTTTAATCTTCTCAAAGGAGTTTAAATGTTTTTATTGACCTCCAGGATCCGAATGGAGCAATTGACCACCATCACACAGGAAGAGGCCGACTCTCTGAGGGAGAAGGACGTGGCAGGTGCGTAGTTGTTTTACCTGTCTGGTGTTGTTCTTTAAACATGTTTTGATGATTTTCTTTCTAATAAAATGTTGAATCAGACACATTTATTGATCAGCAGAAGTTTTATTCTTCACTCTGTAACCGTCAGTGTTGCAGCTTCCTGAGTGAAGCTCTTAATAAGAAGTAATTGAACTTGTGAACCTCTGTTTGCTTTTATGGACCGTTAGAGATGAAGTCTGCCGCCCTGAATCTAAAGTTAGTCTTTATTTGTCTTTTGTTCACAGACACTTTGTCTGGAAACAGGAATGTTTCACAAAGCTTAAAGTTGAGAGAAAACGGCACCAACAATGATGATGACAAATTTGGTGACACATGAAACAACCTCAATAAATGCATTTATATTTATAATCAAAACCTGATGTCACATTAATTAAATTCAGTGCAGTTTATTTCTATAGCACCAAGTCACAACAGAAGTCGTCTCAGAGCACTGAACAGAAATATTCATATACATGTATACAAACCGGATTCCAGAAAAGTTGGGACACTAAACAAATTGTGAATAAAAACTGAATGGGCGGTGAGCGTCAGATCACATTTTTCTCCAGGCGACTTTAGATAAGATTGCCTTCAAGGACAACCAAGGCGACCAAAATTTAGATAAACACACAGTTGTTTTGGGGACAGGCAGAACATAATGACATCAACCTTCAGTCTGTGTCGGTCTACTCGGTTCCAAAATGTCCAAAATAACATGGCCACACCGATGGAACGTGACTGAGTAAAAATCCCCAAGATCTGATCCATTCAGCCCAAAGCTTTGAGTCCGGGTACTCCAGACATGAACCAAGCCATCATAAAGGCAAGCAGCGTGATCGGGTCCAAATTTGCTGCTGACTACTTCCTTGATTGTAGATAAAACCAGCAACCAGCCGAATCCAAAAAGCAGGAACCAGAACACATCATCAAGTTTTCCAGTCGACGAGATATCCAGCTGCGTGCGTGCCAACAGGGTAAATCGGCTCGCCCAAAGCCTGTCTTCTCTTCGAAGAAATGTTGTAAATTGAGTTGAGGGACCAACTGGTCAAAACAAGTCCATAATTATGGTTCAGAAGAAATGCAAGAGTCTCACAGCAATTTCACAGACAGACAGAGCAACAAAGCAAAGCGGAGAGGGAGGGAGAGAAGCATCTGATCTCGTGGGGAGCGAGTGGTGAAGTGACATTGTTATGGTTATGACATTGCACAGGTTATAAAGCATGTTTTAGACATAAAACATGTTTTTGGCAGCACAGCTTCATTCATATTTGAAGTTCTTCAGTGTTTGCAGCAAGATGCTGCATATCTTCTATAAGTCTGTTGTAGAGAGCGCTGTCTCTTCTGCCATCATCTGCTGGGGGAGCAGCACCAGAGCAAGTGACTTAAACAGATCAACAAGCTCATAAAGAAGGCTGGCTCAGTTCTGGGGACTCCTCTAGAACCTTTGGAGATGATTGTACAAAGAAGGATTCTTCATCAAATGAAGAACATTATAGACAACCCTCAGCATCCTCTTCATCAGACTGTCATACAACAACAGAGTGTCTTCAGTCAGAGGCTTCTTCAGATCTGTTGTAGGACAGACCGCTACAAGAGATCCTTCCTGCCCACAGCCATCAGCATCTAGAACAACTCTAATGAAACCAGGATAACGAGTTACAACAACATTTAATTTCCCTCTGGGATTAATAAAGTATTTTTGAATTGAATTGAATATTTAAACTCAGTTTTTTAAGTCCTTTTTATTTTTACTCATTGTTTTTAATTATTGGTGTCAGATTTAGTTTGGTTTACTCCTCAATATGAATAAAACTTATGTCATACTGATGTTTTTTTTTGTCTGTCCTTCATCCTCCTCGTGTCACCTTGCCTTGGGGTTTTCAGCCGCCATGCAGAAGATGCTGTTGGACAACAATGCCATGCGCTTTCTTCAGGAGGTCAAAGACTTTCGCAGACAGAATGTGGTCTCTGAGGCCTGCAGGAGGTGAGCCATCCACTCATGTCACATCAGACTGCCACAGATCTGTCCTCATGTCCTCGCTGTCCCCCTACAGCATGGAGGCTCTGGACAGGAAGTTTGACAGGATGATGTCCCTCCAAGTCTTGGACAAATCTAAAGCCATTGCTCAGATCCTGCAGGAGGTGAGGTGTTTGTGTGAAATAAGAATCCCTCTCTGGTAGACCGCTTGGTCTCAAGCCTCTGATGTTCTCCGGTTTTCTGCAGGACGAGATGCAGAAAGCAGCATTTCAGGTTCTGCAGCTGCAGAAAGATGCCGTGCACGGATACATCCGGAACCAGGTCAGACACGAAACGAGTTATGGGTTTTATTAATCTTTTAACAAGTCATTTTTATCATTTTTCTCTTAGTTTTCTTCATTTTAAACAACAGTTTCAGAGTAAAGTTCTGTGTCCGAGGCAGCCAGTGAAGGGGGTCAACCAGAGCCGGATGGAGGTTTTATGGGGCTGTGGGCATCTCATTGGACCTCAGCACCACTAATGCATCCTCCAAATTGTTCATTTAGAACCAGTCCTGGTTTACTGCTGGGTAATAATAAAATCAATAAAAACATAAATCAGCTGTTTGTCAAAAGTCCTGTTGCTTTAAAGCCACAGAAGCAATAAAACTTGCAACACTTTCCTAAAAGTTAAAACGTGTCTTAAGTGTGTCCAATAGTACTTTTTGTGTGATTATTTTACCACATTCTTTAAGGAATTTTTAGAAATTTAGAAATAAACGACAGTGAGAGTACTGAAGAGTGAAGACAGGAATCTAAGGTGATGCAATGTAGAGCAAAGAGGGAGGTAGCTAAGGCAAAGCAGAAGTTATATGATGAGTTGTATGGGAGGCTGGACACTAAAGAGCTGTCTCACATGATGGAAGGTAGATGTTTTGTGTGTCCAGTAGACCAAGTGGAAGAGCAGCAAGGCTCGCAGCATTGGAGCAGGGTTCAAACTGTTTTACCATGGTGTGGATAGAAAGAGAAATGGAGTAGGGGTGGTCCTGAAGGAGGAGTTGGCAAAGAATGTAGCAGAGGTGAAACGAGTGTCAGATAGGGTGATGTGTCAGAAGGTAGAAGTAGAAGGTGTTATGCTAAACATTGTCAGTGGTTATGCTTCACAGGTTGGATGTGATGTGGAGGAGAAAGATACATTTTGGAAAGATCTGGATGAAGTGACAGAGAGTATTCCCAGGGAGGAGAGAGTGGTGATGGGAGCAGACCTGAATGGACATGTTGGTGAAGGAAACAGGGAATGAGGAAGTGATGGGTAGGTTTGGTGTCAAGGAAAGAAACCAGGAAGGACAGATGGTGGTGGATTTTGCCAAGAGAATGGAAATGGCTGTAGTCAACACTTACTTCCAAAAGAGGGAGGAACATAGAGTGACCTATAAGAGTGGAGGAAGGAGTACGCAGGTCGACTACATTCTGTCTAGAAGAGGAAACCTGAGGGAGATTGGAGACTGTACGGTTGTGGCAGGGGAGAGTGTGGCCAGACAGCATCAGATGGTTGTGTGTAGAATGACTGTTGTTGTGAAGAAGAGAAAAAGAGTAAAATCAGAGAAGAAGATCAAATGGTGGAAGATGAAGAAGGAAGAATGTTGTGAGAAATTCAGAGAGGAGCTGTTAAAGGCTCTGGGTGGTAAGAAAGAGCTTCCAGATGACTGGACTACTACAGCAACAGTAATTAGAGAGACAGGTAGGAAGGTACCGTAATTCTTGGACTACACCTTTCTCTAAGCCTCACATTTTAAATATAAGATAAGTCATAATTTTGTACATAAATAAGACGTTCTGGTTATTACGCTGCGGGCATCCAATGTTCATGATCAGAATGTGTGCCTAGCTACGGCAGTGTGCAGCTTTCTTGTTGTAGTACAAGAATCAGCCAGCAGATGGTGTTTCACAAAACAGTTTGCTTTCAACACAAATTCAGACTGCAAGATCATCACGTCTTCATGATGTTTCGCTGTCTGACTCATGGTTACAACAATGGTACCTTCAAAATGAACACAATAACTATCCAATCATAATCACTGGACAGAACAGTGCCAAATACCTATGTAGCTGAAATTATTTTAAAATTATTTACCGGTAAATATTACCCAGAAGTCTTATCGAGGTCATGTAGCCAGAAGTCAAATACTACTGGTAAAATACGGTAAATATTCATAAAATTAGTACCATTGATTTTTATTGTTAAACAGTATTTGTAACATTTGCTGTCTTTAAATGTACTTTCTAAATAAATTTGACGTAATTTCTCCTCAGCAGAGCTCTGAGGAGGAGGAGGAAGGGGGAACAGCCCCCCCCCCCCATTGTCTCCTCCATTATTTAATCTTAAATGAGATATTTGTATTTAAACACATATTTACTGTACACAGAAAGTTTTTTTTTTTACTTTTATTTAAATATGTGTAAGTATTGACTGGCTGACTGCTTTAAAAATAAATCTGACTTCACTTTTCCAGTGCTCGTTGAGCTGAGCTGAGCTCTCATCAGAATCAGAATAAACTTTATTGGCATTGCACTGAGACACAACGAGAATATGGAACATGACGGAAGAGGAGGGGGGAAGACCCCTCGTGTAGTCTCCGTGGGGATGAGAGTTTAAAATGAGATCCCGGTATTTAAACGAATATTTACAAACACAGAAAGATGTCACACATAAAGAATTTTAAAACTTTTATTAAAACGTGTACCAGACTTGACTGCTTTGTGTCTCCAATCCTGACCATTTTGATGCAAAGCTTACAGGCGGCAGCTGTGTTTTCCTCTTTGACTGCCGATCCCTTTTAACATGAAAGCTGCATCATGAGAAATTCTCGTGGTTTTTCCATTATCACTAAACAAATGAACAGGTCTGTGCATGAAGCGCAAAATATGGTAATGACACGGGAACGATCTGAAGAAATTAATGCACGTCTATCTTGGGGGGATGGTCCTCGAGAGTACTTCGTTGGTCATTCAGGTTAGACTTCTATACACATGATTACAGAGTGGGTGGAGTTATGGTAGGGAATTTGAAACTGACCAAGAGGCTTTGTATATTTGTACATCAAGTTATCGGTGCACCGAAAAACTGACCGGCCGATTTATCGGCCCCGATTTCCTTAATTTTTGGAAATCAGAAATCGGCCGATACTTGCATGAGAAATCGATTTTACATATTTTTTTAGTTTTAACAACAATTGTTTAAACTTCATTTATATTTCAGAGTACTACCTCATGGCCAGTTAAAACAAGTTTGTATTGTTTCTTGGATATTATTCAAGGACATGTTTTTCAATAAAATAATATTAGAAAATTGAAGGTGCATTGTGACCTTATAACACCTGACAGTGTTTCTTATAAAACAAAATCGGTTTCGGCCAAAATCTGAATCGGCAGGTCAGACTTTTTAGAAATCTGTGATCAGCCAGAAAACTGCAATCCTACCTGAGGGCATTCTTTCTTTGTCACAAATACCTGCCACCAAGAGGTGCGGGTTGCTGGGAGCCACAAGTGCCCAGCTTTGTCAAAGGAAAATGTTGGTCAGTGGCAGGAAGTTACGGAGAGACGGCAGGATGTCTGTCAAAATAAAATATAAAAATTTAACTTTTGAAAATTATGAAAAAAATTAATAAATAAGACGCTCCTGCATATAAACCGCAGGGTACAAAGTGTGAGACAAAAGTAGCGGCTTGTACACTGGCAATTACGGTACTTGGTGTGTCATCTGGACAGAGAATGGATGATAAGGAAACCAGGTGGTGGAATAGTGAAGTGCAGGACGCCGTTCAAAGAAAAAGATTAGCCAAGAAGAAATATGACAGTGAGAGGACTGAAGAGAGGAGACAGGAATATAAGGAGATGGGACGTAGAGCAAAGAGGGAAGTAGCTAAGGCAAAGCAGAAGGTGTATGATGATTTGTATGGGAGGCTGGACACTAAGGAGGGCGAGAAGGACTTGTACTGATTGGTAAGATGGAGGGATCAGGCTGAAAAGGATGTGCAGCAGGTTAGGCTTATTAAAGATAGGCATGGTAATGTTCTAACAAATGAGAGTGCGGCGGGCAGATGGAAGGAGTATTTTGAGGAGCTAATGAATGAAGAGAATGAAAGAGACTGAAGAATAAAGGTCATAGAAACTGTGGACCAGGAAGTGGGAAAGAATTAGTGAGGGTGAAGTCTGTAAAGCTCTGACAAGAATGAAGAAGGTGAAGGCAGTAGGACCTGATGACCAGTGGAGGTTTGGAAATGTCTTGGAGAGATGGCAGTGAGGTTTTTGACTCAAATATTCAATGACATATTTGAGGGTGAGAAAATGCCTGAGGCATGGAGAAGTGTGCTGGTGCCCATTTTTAAGAACAAGGGTGATGTGCAGAGTTGTAGCAACTACAGGGGGATTAAGTTGATGAGCCACACAATGACGATCTGGGAGAGAGTTGTGGAAGCAAGACTTAGACAAGGTGACTGTGAGCAGCAGTATGGTTTCATGCCAAGAAAGAGCACCACAGATGTCATCGTTTCTTTGAGGATGCTGATGGAGAAGTACAGAGATGGTCAGAAAAAACTCCATTGTGTCTTTGTGGATTTAGAAAAAGCATATGACAAAGTGCCGAGGGAGGAGTTGTAGTATTACATGAGGAAATCTGGAGTGACAGAGAAGTATGTTAGACTGGTACAGGACATGTATGAGGACAGCAGGACAGTGGTGAGATGTGCTGTAGGAGTGAGATAGCTTCAAGGTAGAGGTGGGAGTGCATCAAGGATCGGCTCTGAGCCCCTTCTTGTTTGCTCTGGTGATGGACTGAGTAACAGATGAGGTCAGGCAGGAATCCCCATGGACGATGATGTTTGCAGATGACATTGTGATCTGTGGTGAGAACAAGAAACAGGTGGAAGAGATCTTAGAGAGGTGGAGGTATGCACTTGAAAGAAGAGGAATGAAAGTCAGCTGTAGTAAGACAGAGTACATGTGTGTGAATGAGAGGGAGGAGGTGGAACAGTGAGGCTACAAGGAGCAGAGGTCACAAAGGTGCAGGACTTCAAGGACTTGCAGTCCACTGTCCAGGAAAATGGGGAATGTGGTAAAGAAGTGAAAAAGAGAGTTCAGGCAGGATGGAGTGGATGGAGAAAAGTTTCAGGAATAATTTGCGACAAAATGGTGCCAGCAAAGGTCAAATGAAAAGTTTACAAGACAGTGGTTAGACCAGCTGTGTTGTATGGTCTGGAGACAGAGACATGGAAGTTATAGAGGCCAGACTGAGATGGTTTGGACATGTCCAGAGGAGGAATAGTGGTTTGAACATGTCCAGAGGATGGACAGGGGTTTGGACGTGTCCAGAGGTGGGACAGTGGGTACATTGGTAGAAGGATGTTAGAAATGCAACTGCCAGGAAGAAGACAAAGAGGAATGCCTAATAAAAGATATATGGATGCAGTTAGAGAGGACATGGAGGTAGTTGGAGTGAGGACAGAGGATGCAGAGGACAGAGAGAAATGGAGGAAGATGACTCTCTTTGGAGACGCCTGAAGAGGGAAAAGCCGGAAGAAGAAGAAAAAGAAGAATCAGAAATTTTTAGATGTTCCTAGAGTTTAATAATTTTAAATAACAAACTTGGATTTTTTTGGTCATAATTTGAAGTAAAACAGACAAAATAAATTAATGTTTCTAAACCCAAGAAAGTTAAGCCAGGTCCTCTGGATGGTTTCTTTGTGTAGAAATGTTTCATCTCTCATCCAAAATACTTCTTCAGTCTGAGGAGCCACAACAAACTCAGTCTTATAAATAACACCTTCACATAGTGGGTCAACCAGTTTGATGGTGCTCAGATGGTTTTGGCGGACTCCAGAAACCAGCTCATCACCTGGATTATTGAGCATGAACTTTGAAGATAATGTTTCTAAAGTTAACCCTAAATTGTTTTAAATATTTTTATTACAGCAAAGAAACAATTTGTCTAAGATTTTTTTTAGATTTTCTTTTATCAGTATAAGAAATCTTGATACTTAAAGTAGAAACAAAGCAGTTTTTAAGCAACTTCTTAAAAGCAACACATTTTTGTACTGATGCATCACAGAAATAATTCGTTTTACCTGACCCAGCTGGTTTGGAGGATCTGTTTGGTTATTTTTTGCTTCGATCTGGGTCCGATTTTTATTATAAACGAACAGAAGTTCATTTCATCTTCTCTTTTGGCCTTACATTAAGCAGCTTGTTCAGCCTGACATTGAGAACGATTCAGCTTGACTTTAAGCAGCTGGTTCATCCTGACATTAAGCAGCTTGTTCACTTAACATTAAGCAGCTCATTCAGCCTGACATTAAGCAGCATGTTGCTTCTCTGCTGTCCTCAGATCAAAGTCATAGAGGGAGAACTAATGCAGGTGACTAAACTGGAGGTTAAAAGACGCAGTCTGGACTCTGAAAACCTGCAGGTGGGTGTCATCGCCTTTTTTCTTTGCCTTCATACTTTTTATTGGTTCAATTTTTCAGTTTTTCCTTTGGTTCTTGTATATTTTTTCATGTCATTGTTCCATGGCAGCTCATGCAATCAGAAATAAAGTTCAGCTGGGTTATAAAAGAGAAGTTTTGATTCTTAAAAAATATATTTTTTCAAACATAACTTTCTCATGTTCTGGAGACAGAGACGATTTCAATACTTTCTTGAGACTGCTACAGTATGTTCTTGAGACTATCTCTGGATGTTCTTGAGTTATCGCTAAGCACTCCTGAGGCAGTCAGAGGACATCTCATGAGGCTGTTACAGGATGTTCTGGAAGCCATGACTGGACATTAATGAATCTACATATGTTAGGATCAGGGGTGAAAATTAAAATTTTTACCAGCCACTCAAAATATTTTACCAGCTACTATTTGTCTTTTTTGTTCGTAACGCTTTCCTTTGGTTACAAATCCCACCAGTACAATCAGATTATATAAATCCTATGATTTATTTTTAACTCTTTCAGAAAAACCATTTACAGTAAAGAAGTTTGCCATACATATGTACTTAGTCTGATTTAACATAGCACATCATGTACACCATGACATCCTCTCTCTCAGTCGGCGGTGGAGGCTGGAATAGAGAGGATGAGGTCCACCAAGCTGAGCACATCAGGGCACTGATGCTGTAGCATTCAATTGATCTCGGGCCAAGTTGTAGAATGAAGGGTGTCACCCTTTTAGTACAAACATTTTTTTTTCTGCTGGATTCCTTAGATTGAGAACTACTAATTGGCTTTTATGTTTGTGAATGTTTCTGTAAAGTGCCCTGAGACAACTTTGTTGTGATTTGGCGCTATATAAATAAACTGAATTGAATTGAATTAGAATTGTCCACTGGTCTGGGATGAGATCAGTTGTCACTCATGAGGTTTGAAGGACTTGTCAATTCATCTACCTCTGCCTCCCCAAACTCTGCAGAAAGACACACAAATAGTCCAACAAATATTAAGTTATACTATATGGATCACCAAATGTGTAAATTATTTTAAAATTGAAAAATATTAGGACAAATTATATACCTTCAGAGTGTTGTACATCAGGCCAAGACTTCAGATCCACCAACTTGGTTGCATGAAGAACCCTGGAATTCATCAGCAAACCGGTTCTGCAACTTCTCACAGACTGTCCAGGAGATGGATCTTTGCTTTCCTCAAGCTTAAGACCTCATTCCACTGGTGCTGGTCCATGCAGGCTGCCAGTTTAGGTCCAGGCCTGTGGTGGATTAGTACTTAATTTATAATAGAAAGTCCTTGACAACTTCACATTTTGCATTCAATGTCTGGACTTCTCACCTTATTTTGTATTTTGCCAGCACTGACTGGGCAGAGGTGAGACATCCATGCACTTCAGCCAGATGCTGCCTGTCTGTATTCCCTTCTTTTCATATAATCTACAATGAAGGAGGAAAATTATATAATATAATCTGATTTTCCACAAATTGTGATAGCTTTAATTGCAACACCAAAATTACTGTACACTCTGTTTACATACACTGATAAAGCGTTGCTACTTGCCAGTACTAACACAACACTATGTGTTACTATAAGACTACGGTAGCTAACATTATGATACGTCTAAAAAGTTAAGTCTGGTTCTCTGGACATTCAAAAAACAAAACAAAAATTAAAGAAAAAAGTAGAAATGTTTAGTTTTTCATCCGAAAGACTTCTTCAGTCACTGATAAATGACTGAAGTCTTTTGGATGAAAGACGAAACGTTTCTACTTTTTTCTTTAATTTTTGTTTTGTTTTTTGAACGTCTAGAGAACCAGACTTAACTTTTTAGATTTTTTTACCTGGATTATTGAGCATGCATCAGGATATTATGATACATGCTTAATAGTAAACAGATTACTTACTTGGAGAGCCATTCATAACAGTATGCTCAGCTTACAGCTTTTAATGCTGGGCTGTTTTCAGGTGCTCAGTACACTCATAGTCTCTAATGTCTAATGTTTTGACTTACTTAGTCTTACTGGAGAGCTCGTGCTTCCAACAGCTGGAACAAAACATTGAATGGCTACTCTCATCAAAAACGAGACAGTCACGGAACTCTCCATTGTAATTTCTTTTACATTTTTCATTAAAAAAACTACCCACAGTTTATCCCTCAACTCCTCTGGAGAAACGTTTTTGTTGTCTGCAACCTGCTTAACTCCCGAAATGTACCGCCACATTGCTAAAGGCTAAAGCTACTGTTTCCTCCTTCTTTTAATGGCAATTAGAGCAGACTAGCAGCAACTCAGGCACATTGCTGCTCCTACAGGTCGGGAGTACAAATTGAACAATTTTTTTTTTCTTTTCAAATTGCAAACATGCCACAGTGGCTGGTGCGTTGTTCAAATTTACACGCCACTTCAAACATTTACCCGCATTTGGCCAGTGGTGGGTGATAATTTCCATCCCTGGTTAGGATGTTATTGCTGAAAATTTGTAAGGCTGTCACAAGACATTCTTAAGGTTGTTACAGGACGTTCTTGAGGCCATTACTGAATAATCTTGAGACTATATCAGGATGTAATTGAAGCCATCGCACATTATTCTTGAGGTTATCAATGGATTCTTGAGGCCATCGCCTAACATTCTTACGACTATTGCTGAAGTTCTTGAGACTATCGCTGGGGCGGCTGTGGCTGAGTGGTTAGAGCAGTCGTCCTCCAATGCGAGAGTTGGGGGTTTAAATCCCCAGCAGTCACATGCTGAAGTGTCCCTGGGCAAGACACTGAACCCCTCATAGCATCTGATGTGTGTCCCATCGGTGTATGAATGTGATCTAAAGTTCTGATTAGTCTCTTTAGAATGGTTTGTTCAATTAGCTTTGTAGAGATCTAGTAGAGTGCTGTATGAATGGGTAAATGAGGACACAAATTATAGTGTATAGCGTTTTGAGTATCTTGAAATAAGATAGAAAGGCGCTATATAAGTACAGTCCATTTACCATTTACATTTTTGAGGCTGGTGCCAGGCGTTTTAGTGGCTGTCATCTGGCATTTTTGTGGCTGTTGTCGGGCTTTCTTGAGGCTCAGGATAATTTTGAAGTCAACACTCGATGTTCTTAAGGTTATTGCCTGATGTTCTTGACAGTGCCACTATGGATGGACATTCTTGAGGCAAAAAAGTTGTGTTTGTCTGACAGCTCCACTGAGTTTCTGATGTCCTGATGTCTTGAGGCTGTTGCCAGGTGTTCTTGAGGCTGTCGCTGGGCATTTCTGTGGTTGGTGCTGAGCATTTTTGAGGCTGTCACCAGGCGTTCTTAAGACTGTCACCTGGCGTTGTCGAGGCTGTCACCGAGCACTGTTGAGGCTGTGGCCAGGCATTCTGGAGGCTGTCGCCAGGCAATCTTAAGGCTGTTGCATGGTATTTTTGAGGCTGTCGCTGGATGTTCTTGAGGCTGTCACCGGGCATTCTTGAGGCTATGGCCTGGTGTTTTTGTGACTGTCGCTGGGCGTTTTTGATGCCGACACCAGGTGTTTTTGAGGCTGTCGCCAGATGTTCTTGAGGCTGTCGCCGGGCATTCTTTAGGCTGTCACCTGGCATTGTTGAGGCTGTTGCCGGACATTATTGAAGCCGTCGCCAGGCATTTTTATGGCTGTTGCCTGGTGTTTTGGAGGCTGTTGCTGTCACCGAGCATTCTTGAGGCTGTGCCCAGGTCTGTCGCCAGGCATTTTGGAGACTGTCTCCGGGCATTGTTGAGGCTGTGCCCAGGTGTTTTGGAGGCTGTCGTCAGGCGTTTTTGAGGCTGTTGCCGGGCATTGTTGAGGCTGTCACCGGACTTTCTTGAGGCTGTCACCAGACATTCTTGAGGCTGTCACCAGACTTTCTTGAGGCTGTCGCTGGACGTTCTTGAGACTGTCGCCGGGTGTTCTTGAGGCTGTCGCCGGGCGTTCTTGAGGCTG